CTGTATGTGATCCAAGGATAGTCTTCGCCGTTGACCAGCCCCTTTTTGGGATGCGGCATGCCCTCCACTTCCATTCAGGATCTTGCCAGGAAAGGTCAACAGGTCAGCCCAGGCCATTTGCAATGGGATGCACATCATTGTACTAGCCTTGAGACGGTGAACTCAAAACTATCTTCAAAATTTGACGATCTCTGAGCGGAGTTATGGAGGTTTTTCTTTACTGTTTTTCTTCTTCCAGGCGCGCTGGCGCCGAAGCGTTGGCACCTGTAGCGCGACTCACAGCGCTCTTCGCGCAAAAGGTATCATATTCGTGTTCAGGGGGTCAAATAACCCTAGAGACGCACCTAAGCGAAATCTGAGGTTTTGACTCGGCCCTTCCACCCCGAGATGAGGTGTAAGAAGCTTTGTCGGCCATGTTCTTGGACAAATGCAAAAAAATGCGACCTGCCGGGAACGATCCCACGATGCCTCGTCTAGGGAAACCCACTCGCTATCCGTTGCGCTCTGCTACGGCGTTTCAGAAAGACTTCGTACATTTATAGAGACGACGATTACTATTTATAAAGACGCTTCCACGTTTGCTCGCGATAGCATGTAAAACAACCACGCGGGGATAAATCCCTCCATAACTCCGCTCAGAGAATCGTTCCGCAAATTCTGAAGACAGATTTGAGTTCACCGTCTCAAGACGCGTACAACGGTGTGCACCTCATTGGAAATGGCTGTTGACCTTTCCTGGTTAGTACCTATTGAATGCGATGTGGCCTATACAATGATTTGTGGTGGGAAACAGATGTACATGTCAGTGATCTTATCCTCCCGTACAAGCCTGCTATGAATTCACCGTCGCTTGCGATTAAAAAGCTTGGTTGGCCCGGGAGCTCATCCTGGATTTGATCCCCGCACCATTCGATTCTCACCATTTGGTTAGCGTTCCACCCTACTACACCACCTACTCCATGTGGAGCATGATGCACAGAAGTGATGTTTAGATGGGGCCATATGTTGGCGGTAAGTTTGCAGTACAGCACACTCTTCCAAAACAAATTTTAATTTTTTAACGAATCACTTTCTACAATATGACCGTCACTGCAGTGCTAATACTTTGTTATATCCAACTGTATTTCGATTGCGAAGCAGCGAAACCTTTTCCGTGCAAATCTGCTTTTGGCTTTGCAAGCGGCTTCATTTCCTCACGCTATCCTGATTAGCTCACGTGCGTGATTTATGAAAGAGACTCAGCTCTCGTCATCAGCCACTATATGTATTTCCCAAGAAGTCCTTAAAACGGGGTCAATCATAATGTCACCGATAATGGGCCTTCAGTACGACCCCTACCCCGGAAGCGGGGTTTCCTGGCAACACCCTTGAGGGAACAAGTCAACAAAAGGAACATCTTGTAGCTGTACTTACTGCAGTTGCTCTTCGTGCTAAGATTATAGCGCACTATGCTCCACGGCTCACACTGAAGTTCCACGCTTCCTCAAAGGGGTATGTTTTCCCAAGGAGCAACAATTTTCTCCAGTAGCAAGACCCGTGATGATTGGGACGGCGTGGAGAATTTCTCCAAATTAGAATGAAGCAAGTGTATAAGTATGCAATACCGCGGCTTCAGCCCAGAAGTGCGAGAAAATTTTTGAGGATGCAAGTTTTTGGCATTCAAAAGGACTCAGCTCGATCCAAATACAAATTGGATTGAATAAATTGGGATTAGGACCTAGGAAGAGGAAACTTCTCCCTCTCATTACTCTCTCAAACCCATCACTTTTTTTGCTGCAGGTCCACTTTTCGGATGAATTCTCCCTTACAGGGACTTGTGGTACAGCTGGGAAAATTGCAACCCTCCAACAGAGTCCCTGCAAGGGAATACCCTATTTTCTCGCAATGGAGTTCTGAGAAGGTTTCACTTATTTCTCGCGACGGCACCGGAGGCTTTTTAGAAGGTGCTTTCTACTCGCCATAACTAGGAAACGAAGCACCTGCTGCTGGTTCAATTTCGCGGATGCGCCATGAACTGGACTCTCACTGGAAAAGCAGTGGCATTTGAAGGTAACTGGCCTATGAAACATCTTTCTGAGCCAGATGATGAGCTACGTGTAGCTTATTGACAAGTCTGTGACCCATAGCATGAAATATCTTATGTATTAAAGCACTAATGAGACACTGAAAATGATGAACGATATCTTTCGTGAATACAGCAGGTGTTAGCTTCCACGACTTCAGCAGAGGGTCAAAAATCCTTCCCTGACTTCAGCAGTGGGTCAAAATGCACGATCCTTAGAAGGCTCAGACCTCCAAAAGTTGGGTGATGCTACTATGTACTCATCTGTTGAAACCTTTGGTACACCCTTCAGTGATCAGCGGTCAATATGCTCGGTCGACATAGGCCCATTCGTGCAGATGAAGTGGTATGTCAATCGGGATCAGTTTGGCGCAGAGCCAATTCCGTTCTAAAGCAGTTGTTGAAGCGCGTAACCAGCAACAATTGATGGAAAACGAACGATATGATACAGTCTTGTCGCTTGCCCACTTCAACAAGTGGTGAAAACAGCTTTCGCACGGCGCCAAATTCATCCCGCCTGAGACGCCCCTTCATCCGCAGCGAACCAGACTGTTGTTATCTCCAAAATCTACTGTTCGTTCTATGCGAATTCTCGGTGTACCTAATAGTATTGCGCCAAATTGTTGCTGAATCCCTGAACCTCCACGAAGTTCTGATCCGTGTTTCTACAAACTTCTGTTTCACAGTAAATTAAGAGCATACCATCCAATCTACCCTCAGGGTGTGGTTTGGCGAGCCAACAAAAAAAAACTAACTCACCTGTCTGTAATCCGTTCGCTCAATGTAGACCACTCGGTCGAAGGCCACATGATGATTTTTCTCACAAGTGAGATCAGAAGGAAAATCGGGAACTGTGACTGTTGATGGTAAATTCATTTCGTCGAAGTTTTCAATGGTCAGCTTCAACCCTTCAAGCACGGCCATTGTCCTGAACATCGGCATATAACCAAAAAAGACTAGACAACGAGTGACGAAAAAAATTTTTTACTCTCATATTACTACTGAAGTACTTCTATATAAAAAGTATATAATTATTTTTTTAAACGGGAGATGAAGTACTTTTTTCCTCCCCTAAAAACTCGTTAAAACCTATACTCCGGGTTTCATTAGTGCCAGCTAATCGAAAATGGTGAATAGTCGAAATTCATCAAGCAGTGGTAGGAGCACGTGCTTCCTCCAATTACTGAAAGTTCTTGCGCTTTCAAATAGTAATTTTCAAATAGCTAGTAATATTTATATCCGTCCCACTTCTTCTTAATATATCTGCGATTAACTATTTTCATCGAATCAACTCTAGAGCCGAGAAGTGCATTCCCCTGTTTTTTTAGGGTTAAATCAAATGTTTATGAGAAAGGTCACAGCATCGAAAAGGCAACCTCAAGATGTGTGATCTGAAAGCAAGAGACTGATAAATAGTCGGGCCCCGTAATGGGTAATACACTTGTCCGGACAGCTTGAGATGCGCGTTTCGAGCCCGCATTTCAAGCTGGCCGGACGAGTGCATTACCCATTACGCCACAGGTGATGCTCTTCCCCTTTCAGCCCAATGTCTTTTTTTGCCTTAGCCTCACAGCAGTAGAACTCGTCTCGGACGGGACTCGAACCCGCTTACGCTAGGTCAGCGAGAGATGCGGCTTCGAGTCGGGTCCTTCGCCCAAAATGCAGCACATCTGTGACAGCCTTCGGAGCGCGAATTGCGGCCTTAAACAACAGTTATCATAATAAAACAATCTGATAAAAAAGTTGTTGAAAGCTCTGTTCATTCAGGCTTTCTCCCAGTACTTTATGCCTTAATATTCCGAACGGCAATCTGTCGAGTTTATTTGTCTGCTGCTTATGATTCTTTATTATCTCACTTAGGCCAGCGCAGTGCAACAGCTGTTTTCGTCCTTAGTCGTTGCATAAGTCTCAATTTGCTGCCCTTTATTATAACACTTCTGGTAAAGTATCACGTGACAACAATCGGGGGTGGAAGTGCAGAAAGAGCCCTTAATTCGATTCCCTTCAGACTGAAATCGAGAACTTGCTGGAATCTAGGCAGGAAATGATGAACGTACGGAAATGCACGATTCCAGATTAAACACGCGACGCTGTTCGTTTACATCAGGAATAAGTGACATCTATATTTGCGAAATTCTTCAAAAATTATTAGGGAAACGCCAAGGGATAGTCTCTGAAGTATTAGATTCAATGCTCACTTCATCAAAATTAATCCCTATCTCCAGAGGGGTCGAAGCGAAACAATCGATATCAATGTCGCTAATAAGAACTCTATTTTTTTGGGATGAAGGGCACATCCATATATACCATTTTCACTTCAAATCGGACACTTTTCAAACCAAATCGGACACTTTTCAAACCAAATCGGACACTTTTCAAACCAAATCGGACATAAGTGTCCAGGTTCGACTCTCGATGAATCTTGGCATACTTTGAATTCCTATAGGGTATTGCTTTAGCCGTAACCAAGATGGTATAAAAGTTTTATTGGCTAACGTTTCGGCGCCTTATCGCCTTCGTCAGAGCCTGGAAAAAGTCAAAAATCAAAGTGAAACTACCCTCGGAAATCATTTCAAACCTCAGATAAGCTAGTCCCAGACCAGTAGGATCCAGAAAGTCATAGAACACAACCACAAACGACTCACCTTTAATGCACGACCGGTTCTTGTTTGAGACCACCGCTAAATAGACTCCCCGTCGGTGGCCTGACCGCTCTACTTGATGCCGATGGCAACTGAAGCCCACACAGGTCAGCAAACGGGGCGAGCTCGTTTGTGATGGTCAGGCATTCGTCCTTTCTATTCATTCTGGGATTTTTAGCGCTAATCCAAAACGCTTCCAAAGTTTTGCGTGCCGAAATCTCTGCCCTGGAGCACAGGGTCGTCCAGTCTCCCCGATGTACTCATCCCACAACTCTTGCATGATATCAGGTAGATCACACCTGATTCCATGCAGTCCCCCTCCCGCCCAGAAGGACATGTCACACAATGTGGGGTCGGGCAGTACCGATCATACCCGCGGTTGCGGATCAGCTGCTGCTTGAGGCTCGCAGGAGGGATCTCGACCAACCGAACCATATTGTCGAGACCACACCTGCGCAAAGACGATCTCACAGCAGCGCTGATCGCATCACTTACGAAGGGTAAGCAAAATGGTACTTTCTCCCAATCCTCGGTCACAGGACTTTGTTGACTCCTAGTGGGTGGTCTAGGGGGTATTTGCCTTCTGGGGGGTAGCCATTAGAGAGGCTTATTTTCCGAGCTAACTCCAGGGACTCTTTCTTTCTCACCTGAAGAGACCATTTTGGCTGTCCTGAACATGTTCCTGTTGATAGCCCGTTTGGTCCCTAGAGGATGCGCCGACCGGAAATGGACTAAGATGTTCTTGTTGGTAGGTTTTCGGTACCACTTGGTCCGATAGAACCCGCCCTCAAGCTGGATCTGCACATTGAGGAATGAGAGCCAACTGTTAGAAGGCAACGGGATCGGTTCCACCTAGAGTCACTGTGATTGGCGGCGTAAGTCTTTCCGACAACGCGCTTTCCGTTCTAGACCTCGGTCCTAGTTTTGCACCGAGCCAATCAATAAGTCATACGGTATCGCGAAAAATCCTAGGGGCCCTACAAACTCTTCAGGACAGCCTACGCCTCAGGGTCAAATGGCAGAACAGGGTCAACAATCTGCTACTCGGTCGGGTCTCCCTACAATTCCTTTCCCTTCTCTTTTCTTCAAACCACAGGACCCCAATCCTTCAGTGGATGTGAAATTCCGGCTGTTCGCGACTTCAGTTTTTTCTATAATTACTCGCGGAAGCCCAAACGGTTGCCCTCCAACCTCACGACGGCGCAAAGACAGGACTGAAAGAATTGAGGGATCTCACTCTCTCTGGTCGCATAAAAATATCTGTCAGCGATAAGGGAGGTGAGTTTGTCGTATTGCCCCGAGATCTCGATATGGCCATAACAAGATCGCACCTCCAAGATGAAAGTCTCTACCGTCCATCATCCGAGGAGGAGTTCAAGAGGCAATACCGGAAACTAAACAGGGTGTGGATTGACACAGTGCGAGCTGCAGAGCTCCCGAGGACAGTGGGCACACGACTGAAATGTGATCTACCAACCTGTCCAGTTCTCTATGTTCTCATCAAAACACACAAGCTCTCGCAGACCACCCTGTCCTCAACTAATGCCTCAGATTTCCACGTGCGCCCAATAATAAGTGGGGTAGGAGGTCCCACTGACAGGATTTCATGGCTGTTGAACCTTGTACTGGTGCAGCTGCTGCAATTCATCCCTGCCCACCTCAGTAATACTGCCCATTTGCTCGACTCGTTGCGGGAGGCCAGGTTCAGACGGAACCATGTGATGGAATCGTTTGACGTAACATCCCTATACACAAACGTGTCAAACGAAGGAGCCATGCAGGCCACCTATGAACTCCTTAGTGAACATGAGGCGTCGATCAACATGTATGGCCTGTCGACAGCCACATAATGACACTTGTTAAAGAGTGTCTCGCTTGTTCCATTTTTAGGTGGGCCGGTCAATACTACAGGCAGCTCAGAGGTTTGGCCATGGGTCAGCGGCTGGCACCAGTCCTAGCGATTGCCTACATGTCCAAGATAGAGAAACCGTTACTGGATCGCCGACCCATCCTGTACAAACGCTACATAGACGACTGCCTCATCGTCTGCACCACAGAGAGGGAAATAGGACTCGTGCTTCGACCTCCTCAATAGCCAAGCTGAGAACATTCGGTTTACGAGGGAGAAGCCTTCTAACAGTTGGCTCTCATTCCTCAATGTGCAGATCCAGCTTGAGGCGGGTTCTATCGGACCAAGTGGTACCGAAAACCTACCAACAAGAACATCTTAGTCCATTTCCGGTCGGCGCATCCTCTAGGGACCAAACGGGCTATCAACAGGAACATGTTCAGGACAGCCAAAATGGTCTCTTCAGGTGAGAAAGAAAGAGAAGAGTCCCTGGAGTTAGCTCGGAAAATAAGCCTCTCTAATGGCTACCCCCCAGAAGGCAAATACCCCCTAGACCACCCACTAGGAGTCAACAAAGTCCTGTGACCGAGGATTGGGAGAAAGTACCATTTTGCTTACCCTTCGTAAGTGATGCAATCAGCGCTGCTGTGAGATCGTCTTTGCGCAGGTGTGGTCTCGACAATATGGTTCGGTTGGTCGAGATCCCTCCTGCGAGCCTCAAGCAGCAGCTGATCCGCAACCGCGGGTATGATCGGTACTGCCCGACCCCACATTGTGTGACATGTCCTTCTGGGCGGGAGGGGGACTGCATGGAATCAGGTGTGATCTACCTGATCATGCAAGAGTTGTGGGGATGAGTACATCGGGGAGACTGGACGACCCCTGTGCTCCAGGGTGAAGGAACACCTAGATAGCCTGAGGCGATCAAGACAAGAGTCCCCCTGGGTAGTCATCGGGTTCAGCGCCATGGAGGCGCGGAGTTTGAGGTGACGGTTAGGATTTTGATGCGAGAACCACAGACTTCGGCGCGCAAAACTTTGGAAGCGTTTTGGATTAGCGCTAAAAATCCCAGAATGAATAGAAAGGACGAATCACAAACGAGCTCGCCCCGTTTGCTGACCTGTGTGGGCTTCAGTTGCCATCGGCATCAAGTAGAGCGGTCAGGTCAGCTGAAGCCACCGACGGGGAGTCTATTTAGCGGTGGTCTCAAACAAGAACCGGTCGTGCATTAAAGGTGAGTCGTTTGTGGTTGTGTTCTATGACTTTCTGGATCCTACTGGTCTGGGACTAGCTTATCTGAGGTTTGAAATGATTTCCGAGGGTAGTTTCACTTTGATTTTTGACTTTTTCCAGGCTCTGACGAAGGCGATAAGGCGCCGAAACGTTAGCCAATAAAACTTTTATACCATCTTGGTTACGGCTAAAGCAATACCCTATAGGAATTCAAATCG